CCAAAATAATTACACAGACACTGTATTCTTTTAATCACTGCTTGGCCCATTCTCTTCTAGGCTAATTCTCACATATTAATTTAACCCATTTCTAATCATCTGTGTATGGCACCTCAAGGTGTGCTTACCGGGGATATTCTAGCCTAGTCCATCCTGGGTCGGAGCTTCATCCCAGGAGCGGGGCATGGCGTCTCTCTCTGAGGCGTCTGCTCCCGAGAGAGCTGTGGAGTCTCCGACCTCACTTCCTCTTCCTCCCAGCGTTCTGTTCTGTTTACTCCTCCCACCTATCCTCTAACCAATAAAATGGGCCAAGGCAGTTCCTTTATTAGCTAATGACCAATGACCTTCCTCCATCATTTCCCCTTTTTCGGTTTAAACAAAAAAAAAAAAGGCTTTAACTTTAACATAGCAAAATTACATATAACAAAAGAGTTATCAAGTAAAAGTTACAATAATCTTTATCATAACTAAGGAAAACTATAACTATAACTAACTATTCTTAACTCCATCAAAGACTCCAGAAAGATATATTACCTAAGTAAACAAGAACTAAGAAACTTCAAACTCTAGAAATGACAAAGATATCTCGCTGCCTGGACAGTCACCCAAAGTTCTTTTGTACCGTTGGGGCATCCATCTTCAGCCTTCAGGCCCATGCTATCCAGCAGACATTTACATAAAGCAGGAAAATTCAAAGTCAGTTCAGTCACTATCTGTTGTGTCCTGCAGAATGTCTCGCAGACTCTTTCATGAATCAGGAACCCCGAAAGATCATCTCACCTTAGTCAAGTTCAGTAGTCCTCTCTCTGCAGGTTCTCTGTGTCCAGTTTATGCAATAGTCCAGGGAAGAGCAGTTTCTTGCCCAAATGGCTATCAAACTCCATAAGGTGCCTCTTTGATGCCCATCTTCCTCTTGAAGTAGATTGGTGCTGCCAGGAGCAGAGTGTCTCATTGTTGTGAAAAGTCCTTAGTTATTAAAACATTAAATGTCCTATTCTGTAATCTTTGAAAGACATGAAGAATGCCTATCTAAAATATATCTCTATATATCTAGAAAATCTAACATGACTACAAGCTTTACTATTATCGATGATTATCCATTAACAACCTATATTTCTTAATTATACAGTACATATTTAAATGAACTACACAATCACAATACCTTAATCAAAATCAGAAACACTTATACATATAACAAAATTGACCTTAAATCTCTATCAATAAAGCAAAATCTATACTAATGCAAATTATTCATACCTATATCATATCCCCCTTTAAATGTAAAAGAATGTTTATAAACCATATTTGGGAACATGGGCGCAGTTTTTTCTCTCCAAACTGCTTCCTGCTGAATGGGGGCGTCGTTAATTAGGTCTTTCATGGTATAACCTGTGTGCTAGTTTCATCTCAGTTGGCAGTTGAGCGAAGCAATTTTCTGAAGATGCTTCAGGAGGGCGTGGTCCATCATACCAAATCGGGATAAATGCAATCCACAAGGTCTGACCCTCTGTGAAAACAAAAGAAGAATCTCTTTTCCAAAGTATCATATCCTTAGATCCAAATTCATAATATCTATGTTGGATTAGTTTAGCAGCATTTATAAATAAATATCTTTTAGCATCTGTTGCTCCTTCCTCAGCATTTAAATAATTTAAAGAGAGCATAATAGCATACAGTATCAAAATTCTCTGTTTATTTTCCATCTTTGTACGCTTTATTTTAACCTCTATTTTGTTTATTTTTACTTTTAACTCTTTGCTTTTTGAGACAGGTTCTCTGTATCTTTGACCTGAAGTAACTCTGTAGACCAGGCTGTCTTTGAACACTCAGAGATCTGCCTGTCTCTGCCTCCAAGGCATTTGGGATTAAAGGTGTACACTACTACACCTTGAACTCACAGAGATCTGTTTGCCTCTGCCTTCTAGGCACTGGGATTAAAGGCGTGTGCTACCACACACAACAACTCTCTTCCTTTTTTTGTTTTTTACTTTAAGAACTTTAAATTTTAGTCTGCATATATTTTTAACACACTTCAAACCATTTAGAATTTTTCTCTGTCTTTGAATCTCTCTTTACTGTATATCTCTCTTTTTCTGACCACATGAGTCTTTAATTTACCAAGCTATCTCAGTAGGACTAAAGGCGTGGCTTTGCCAGCTAGATCCAGTCCATTCCTTAGCTTTCCAGCCTCATGGGGGATATACAGGCTGTAGCTATGTTTACTGCAACAACTGTATGGCATTTCAAGGTCCCTGCCAGCAAGTGAGCTACAACAGACAACACTGAAGTCCTCTCTCGGTAGCCGGCCCTCCTGCCTCAAACAGTCAAAGTTTGCCCTGGCAGGATGGCCCAGAAAGCCGGCATTTTTAAACAGTGCAGCTTTTTTCCTGCTACGGCTGAAAACCGAAAAGCATGCGTTCAGCTTTTCATCAACACCGTTTAAGTGTTTAGTGGCAGGACCTCTTAATGAGCTGCAGGCTTTGCAGCTAAAGCTGAGTCAGGAAGCTTCTCTTAGAAGAAAGCGCATGCTTGACTCTAACAAGCAGAGCAGACCCGAGAACACAGCGAGTCTAGTTGCCATCAAACAAATCGTAGCACTTTACTCCAAATGCTCTATTCAAAAGCTCTGTCTCCCGCAGGAGCCAGACAGAGATCGCAATGGCAGCACAGCCCCAGGAAGTCGCGCTTTAAAATGACACAGCGTTTTTTTCTGCTATTGTTGCCGAATCAGGAAATCTCTCTACAGCACGCCACCAACAAACAGCAAAAATCTGTGTTAAACTCTCTTTCCCTTATTTTTAAGCCTTCTCAGGTTTTTTTAAATGGGTTTAGTTGTCCACACGTCTGGGCGCCAACTGTAGTAATAGGGGCGGCAGGGCTGCGTTCCCAGCACCCCGGCCGCCTGCTCGACTAGCTTATGCCCCAAAATAATTACACAGACACTGTATTCTTTTAATCACTGCTTGGCCCATTCTCTTCTAGGCTAATTCTCACATATTAATTTAACCCATTTCTAATCATCTGTGTATGGCACCCCAAGGTGTGCTTACCGGGGAGATTCTAGCCTAGTCCATCCTGGGTCGGAGCTTCATCCCAGGAGCGGGGCATGGCGTCTCTCTCTGAGGCGTCTGCTCCCGAGAGAGCTGTGGAGTCTCCGACCTCACTTCCTCTTCCTCCCAGCGTTCTGTTCTGTTTACTCCTCCCACCTATCCTCTAACCAATAAAATGGGCCAAGGCAGTTCCTTTATTAGCTAATGACCAATGACCTTCCTCCATCATCAGACCTAACTGGTTCTTCTCCAAAAGATGACTATCCTTTGGGCGATGTGAACAACACCCATTCATTACAAATCACTGTCAAGAGCAGATGGTTTTTATATATTTTCAAATATTTTATTACATTTTTACTTGTGTATGTGGGTAGTATGTGTGCAGTATATTGTGTATGTGTGTATGGTGTATGGTGTGTATATGTATGGTGTGTGTATGTATGGTGTGTGTGTGTGATAGTGTGTGTCCCACCGATAAATATACAGAATGGCTGAGACACAGCTGGTCTTCACACTGTTGTGCCTGTCACTTAACTGTGACTATAAGGAAATGGCCCAAATGTCCGGTTAGCACAGGAAGTAGGGCCAGACCATAAGATCTCAAGACCCACCCTGGTGACTCTCCTTTCAGTAAGCCTTAATCTCCTCAAGGACACACAATCTTCCCAAACACATGAGCCTGTGGGGGCCAGTTCACGTTCTAACTACAGTGTAACATGAAGGATGGCTGGGGACAGTTCTCCCTTAGGACCCGAGGAATCCCTCTGGGACTATAGAAGCTAGACACAGAGAGGAAGCCTCCAGCTCAGACCCAGCTTCCCAGCTTGACTCCTCCACGCCCTACCACCAAAGCGTGTGATCCGCAGTAGGGACCTGACTCTGAGGGCTGGGAATGACACCCCCGGCACTGGCGGGCCTCTATATATGTGGGGCCCAGAGATGTCTCGTCAGCTCCTAGGGACATAGCCTAACCATGGCACTGAGATTTTCACCCATCAACCGTATCGCCCCTGGGCGGTGACATTTTCCCCCCATGTTGCGTGCCACCATTCAAACTCTTCAGTTGCTGGTTTCATAGACACTGTTACAAATTGTTAAGATACTCAAGGGTTTTCCATTATAAACTATTTTCAGAGGGTGGGCAGGATCTGTCCTGATGCCACAGGAGTCTGGGTGATACGTGAGCGGCTTTGTCACTGAAAGCCCTCTCAATGGGTGATCTTGCTCACAGAAGCTTCACCCTTTGAGCCCCTGGAGGGGGTTTTCTCACCTTCAGTAATTGCTTGCTGATCATGTGCCCACTGGGGAGGGGCCTTTGACTTTCTCTTGGGAGTTTCATGGTCCACTGTCCTCTCCGGGAGGGAATGCTTCAACCCAGAGGAAATGTCCATGAAGATTTGAGTGCGCATGATTAGGGGTTCCTTCTAGCTCCTGCAGACATGTCTTAGAGGCCCCTAAACTCTGAATCCACACAGCATTCTCATGTGATTGACGTCTGAGTATATTGTACACCTGGACAGCTGCACACAGCATCCCTGTCTGGGCCAATGTGGCCTCTGTCTGGAGAGAAACCAGGTCTGTCTTACGTATGTCACTCCCATGTCTGAAGGCAAGAGCCGGAGCATTGAGAATGCAGTCGTATGAGAAGGGCATGGAGGTCATGGGATCAGAGCTGCGGCTGGCCAGCCACCCACCGGATCCCGGTAAGGGATTAAGGGACTGCACACTGGGTAGAAATCCTCTCTTCTACAGCTCAAGGTCTCTAAGCTGATTCTATTTCTGTTCCTCGTCATTCCAGCTGGTGTAAGGATTTGGCTTTAATACCAGTCCTGGCATCCCCTAGTCTGGATGTGAGTTACAGCCTGCTCACCTCCCTTTACAGTTGTCTACACTGTCTGACTCACCCGGTTGCCTTTGCTTAGGCTGGTGAGAAGAGAGGGCAGGCTTCAGAAAGCCAAGCCACTCTTGTGCAGGGGAATTAGGGAAAAGAACCCACCTGTCCATCTAGGGCAGTGTCTCGTAGGCCTGGACCATGGGCAACGTCGTGGAGGGCAAGTCAGTGGAGGAGCTGAGCAGCACCGAATGCCATCAGTGGTACAAGAAGTTCATGACGGAGTGCCCCTCCGGGCAGCTTACCCTCTATGAATTCCGCCAGTTCTTTGGCCTCAAGAACCTGAGCCCCTCAGCCAGCCAGTATGTGGAGCAGATGTTCGAGACCTTTGACTTCAACAAGGTGGGTAGAGGATGGGGGCATGACTCCTGGGGGAGGCCTCCAGAAGTGGGAACAGCTGGGGGCATGACTCCTGGGGGAGGCCTCCAGAAGTGGGAACAGCTGGGGGCATGACTCCTGGGGGAGGCCTCCAGAAGTGGGAACAGCTGGGCGCGAGGGGGAGCGAACGGGAGAAAAGAAGCATCCATTCTAACAGTTACTTCAGGTTTTCACTGTTTGTGAAGCTGAGTCTTATTGTGGAGCCAAGGCCGGCCTTCAGCCTATGGTGATCCTCCTGCCTCGGCTTCCAGATTGCTAAAATTACAAGTGTGTGTTGCTGTGCGCAGCGTTAGCTACCAGGGAGCCTGGGCCAGTTGGTTTTCCCAGCATCTTGCTTGTTTGGGAGGTGGATCTCGACATTAGAGGTTTGATTCAGCAGATGTTAAGTGTCTCCACTTTAGGCCCTGCGGGTGCAGCAGTAACAAGACCCACTTCACAGGGGAAAGCAGAGGTCAGAGGAGGAGCGCACGGCTGTTCTCTGTCCTTCTGCTATTTACCTCAGTGACTTCCAAGACAGGCGTGAGCTCATCCGACCTGCCTGCCACTGAGCTCCCCAAGATTCTGGTTCTGGGTGAGTGTGATGCTTATGCAGAGACCTCCAGCTCCTTGGATGTGAGGGGTGAAGTCAGAAGGGGGTGGAGAGAGAGAAAGAGAGAGAGAGAGAGAAGAGGAGGGGAGGGGAGGGGAGAGGAAAAGAGGGGAGAAGAGAGAAGAGGAGAGGGAAGGGGAGGAGAGAGGAGAAGAGAGGGGAGGAGAGGGGAGGGAGCAGGACACTGAGCTGCAGCAGAGGCTAAACTGGGTTGGGCTGGGCAGGCACACCATACCTGAGTCTCCATGATATTCTGAGTATTAGGACTGGGTACAGACTGGGACCCAAATAGCTAACTCCCAACTCCCAGTGACCCTGGTTCACCTTTCCCCATGGCGGCCTGAAGGTTCAGGTGGAGAGCAAGTTGCGTGTTTCCCTGGTAACTACCCAGATGCACTGAGTGAGACTTCTGGAGATGCCAGAAGGACAGGGAAGGACAGCTTTGAGCCGTGATTGGACCTAGGTCCAGCTCATCCGCCTGGATCTGTTTCCAGGATGGGCACAGTTGGTTAAGATTTCCATTGGAGCCAGGTGTGCTGGTGCACACTGTAGTCCCAGCACTCGGGAGGCAGAGGCGTGTGATAGAGGCAGAGGCTCTGTGATACCAGTCAGGACTACACAGTGGGACCCTGCCTTGGATGTGGGGAAGGCAAAGAGAAAGAGACAGAGTTGAGAGAGAGGCAGAGATAGATTTGTTGGAGCTCGTCTGTCTAGCTTCCAGTTCTGCACAACAGTCAGGTAAAATGATGGAGGTCCCCAAACCCACAGACCTGCTTCCCCACCTGGTGCTCTGTTGGTTACCATGGTCTCTCACGGGACAGGGGTTCTCTCAGCGATGTGGGATTACACGCCCACTGTGGTCAGGGCTCTAGGGGACACCAAGATCCTCCTGTGGTTATTTAAAACTCACTAATAGGTGAGTTAAGAGGCCGAATCGGATTATGAGCTGAGGACCAGCTCAAGGGCAGAGTCCCGGTGACCGAGAGCTCTTCCGATGGAGGAGGTGAACCACAGAGCCTGAGATAGGGTGCTGAGGGGAAGGGGTCAGCAGTGTGGACACTCCGAGTGCTCCAGGGGAAGCAGTGGTCCCTTCTGGCCAGGTTGGGAGGGGCCCAAGACCTGATCTTTAAACACACTGAGACATCCTCTCTCCACCTGCTAAGAAAGCCCTTTGGGTAGGAAGAGTCAAGCCACACACCACCCAGCTCCCCTACGTTCACCTAACCCTTGTCACACGTGTGCCGTCTCTTTAGTTTCTGTCACATGTTATCTGGAACTCAATCTTTCCCCTCAAAGTTGGGAGCTGGGTTCGGGACTCATGCTGAATCCCAGCACGTGGGAAGTAGAGGCAGGAAAATGTCCACGATCATTCTCAGCTACACGGTTACCAGTCCACTGGGATGCATGAGACCCCATCCCCGCCCCCTCAAACCCCAAATATTCTCAGCTACACGGTTACCAGTCCACTGGGATGCATGAGACCCCATCCCCGCCCCCTCAAACCCCAAATATTCTCAGCTACACGGTTACCAGTCCACTGGGATGCATGAGACCCCATCCCCGCCCCCTCAAACCCCAAATATTCTCAGCTACATGGTTACCAGTCCACTGGGATGCATGAGACCCCATCTCCACCCCCTCAAACCCCAAATATTCTCAGCTACACGGTTACCAGTCCACTGGGATGCATGAGACCCCATCCCCGCACCCTCAAACCCCAAATATTCTCAGCTACATGGTTACCAGTCCACCTGGGAAGCATGAGACCCCATTCCCACCCCCCACCAAGGCCCCCCAAACAACAGAAAAGTCAGTCAGTTTCTTGTCTCTACCCAACCTGGCTCCTCATGACCATACACACCGTCCCCTGGGGTTTTGTGCTGCTGCAACCCTTGTCCTGTAGAGCAGTGGTTTCCACCTCCCTGACGCTGCGACCCTTTATTACAGCTCCTCGTGTACTGCGACCCTTTATTACAGCTCCTCGTGTACTGCGACCCTTTATTACAGCTCCTCGTGTACTGCGACCCTTTATTACAGCTCCTGGTGTGCTGACCCCAACCACAATTTTGTTACTGTTATGAATCAGAATGTAACTATTTTTGAGACAAGTTTTTCTGAGGGGTGGAGACCCACAGGTTGAGAGCCACTGGTCTAGAGCCTGCTGGCTCCCACCTCCAAGCCAAGCCTCACCAACCCACACCCTGGTTTCCTGGTTTAAACTTTATTAAGAAAATTGGGTCTGCCATTTCTGCCTTTCCTGGCCATGGTTTTCCAATCAGAGCAGCTTTCATTTTTAGGTTTTAGTTTTGGGCTGGAGAGTTGGCTCAGCAGTAATGAGCTCCTGCCAAGGACTTGGGTTCGATTCCCAGCACCTAAATGGTGCTAATGTCCTCCTGTTCCAGATCCAACTCGCTCTTCTGGTCTTCTTGGGCAAGGTATCCATGCAGGCAATTACCCACATGTACAAAAAACATTTTTATTAATTTACTAATTCATATTTATAAATTTAAAATTTATAAAATTTGATTCCTTGTTTTCTGGTGCCAGATGTTAACTAATTCTGAGCCCCCTGGTCGGACTCTTCTTGCTGGGGTGAGTTTCAAGGGGCCAGGGACTGGCCTCGTTTATATGTGTGGTTCCAGCTCTAGGTCGGTGCCTGGAACATGGTAGGTGCTGCGTAAGGGTTAGTTATGTGAGGAAGTGAATACAAGAGAATCCTGAGCTTTCTGGGCCAATATGGATTTTATTTATTTTAGTTTTCAAAACAGGGTTTCTCTGTAGTTTTGGAGCCTATCCTGGAACTTGCTCTTGTAGACCAGGCTGACCTTGAACTCACAGAGATCCTCCTGCCTCTGTCTCCCGAGTGCTGGGATTAAAGGTGCGTGCCACCATCCACCGGGCAATAGGGATTTTATAATAAACATTAATTTAATTCAATTATTATAATGAAGAGCACAGTCAGGCATGTCAGTGCATGCTTGCAATTTCAGCACTGATCTGGCTGAGGCAGGAGAATCACCACAAGTCTGAGGCTAGCCTGGGCTGTATAACAAGACTCTCTCTCTCACACACATACACACATGCACACACGCACACATGCACACACACGCACGCACACAAACACACACATGCACGCATGCACACACACGCACACACAGAATCTGGATAATAGCCAATGTGCCTTCCCACACCAGTTATTCAGTTACTCTGTAGGCCACACTTTCTTGACCTTGACCATTGGCATCAGCACTGGGCACTTTAATAGCCTGGCTTTGAGATGGGACACATTCCTGACCACTTACTTTCAAAGTAGAGAGAGGATAAGCAGAGCTGTTCAAATGACAGCTGAGGACAGGGTCTCATAGTCTAGGCTAGCCCCAAAGTCACTACCATGGCTGAGGATAACTTTGAACTTGTTTTTGTTGTTGTTTTTGTTTTTCGAGACAGTAACAATCCTAGCTGTCCTGAAACTCTGTAGACCAAGCTGGCCTCGAACTCACAGAGATCCACCTGCCTCTGCCTCCTGAGTGTTGGGTTAAGAAACATGTACCACCACTGCCCAGCTGACTTTGAACTTGTGCTCCCCCCTTTGTGTACCCCTGTACCTGGTTTATACACCTGGTTTGGGAATCAACCCCAAACCTGAAGCATGCTCAGCCAGCACTCTGCCAACCGAGCTGCGCCCCCAGCCCTGGCTTTTGTTTATGTGACAGAGTCTCACTGTGTAGTTCAAGGCTGGCCTTGAACTGTGTCTGACCCTTCTATCTGTGCCTGGGTGCTGGTGTTACAGGTGTGAGCCACCAGACTTCATTATCCAAGAGCCTAGCTTTATAGATAAAGTTTTATTAGAGCGTACTAGACTCATTAAGAATTACAGGGCTGGGCCATGGCTCAGTGGTGGAACGCTTGCCTAGTGTGCCCAAGGCCCTGAGTTCTGTGGATGCATCTTGGCTGGTAGACTGTTTGTGCAGCTTGCTCAAGGCGTGGGACTCAGTTCACCACATAGACTGGCTGTGATGGAGCCCACCTGTCAGCTTTGTATCCAGGAGGTGGAAGCAGGAGGATTAGAAGGTCAAAGTTATCCAGGCTACATGGGGACCAGCCAGGCTTAGAAACTGTTTGTTTTTTGTTTTTTAAAGGCTTGGGTTTCTAGCCTCAGTACTATCAAACACTTGTCGCGGCTGCACCGAGATGACAGTGGCTGCTGCTTGACTCCAGGGCCAAAACGCTGGCTCACCTGACTCTTTCAAAAGTTAGTTATTCCAGTGGGAAGACCTCTGGGTACCAGGGAGGCAAAGGAGAAGCCTGCGCCCTGCCCCCACCAGTCTCTCCAGGGTTGCACCATACACAGGTCCGGCTTGTCCTTTCAGGCTGTGTCTTAAGCATTGGTGTAAAGTTTAGAAGACCCTGTTTCAAGGTCTTCTAAATGACCAAACCTTGTCATTCAATTGTGTGGCTACATCTCTTTCAACTTCAGCTTGAGCTGGGACAGAAATGGGCAACTCCCAGGAGTGACTGTGGAATGAGATGAGCGAATGGAGATTCTCAGCACCGGAAGTCCATGGGAAGTGCTGGGAGAAAAGGACTAAGGGCTAGGGAAGCAAACCAGCCGGTAAAATGCTCGTCATGCAAGTGTGAGGGTCTGGATTTATCCCCAGCCCCCACGTGAAAAACTGAATGCACAACTATAACTTCTGTAGTAAGGAGGGCGAGCAGGCCAGCTAGCTTAGCCCCGGAAATAACAACACACAAATTGTATTCATTTAAACACTGCCTGGCCCATTATATCTAGCCTCTTCTTGGCTAACTCATATCTTGATTAGCCCATTTCTGATAATCTGTGTAGCACCACGAGGTTGTGGCTTACCGGGAAAGATTCAGCATGTCTGACCTGGTGGCTAGATCCATAGCATCTGTCCTCACTTCCCTTCTTCCCAGCATTCTGTTCTGTCTACTCCACCCACCTATGTTCTGACCTATCAGGCCAAGCAGTTTCTTTATTAATTAACCAATGAAAGCAACAGATAGACAAATGACCTTCCCACATCAAATTTCAGCCCTGGGGAAGGAAGGAGTCAGAGATAGGTGGGTTCCTGGAGCTCACTAGCCAGCAGTTTAGCTGACCGATGAGTTCCAGCTCCCATGAGAGACCCTCTCTCATAAAGTGATGTGGAGAGCAACAGAGGACACCACATCAAACTCTGACAAACACACACGCAGACATACACACATGCATGCACACACATGCACACACCACAGCTGTCCTGTAACTGAGGGGAATCATTTCACAATCTTTTACTTAAATTATTATTCTTTTTGAGATGTGTGTCTATGGTCTGATACTCACTATATAGCCCAGTCTGACTTTAAATGTGAAACAATCCTCCTGCCTCAGCCTCATGGGTTACTGCGATTACAAGTGTGTACTGCCTTGCCCATGCCACAGTCTTGAAAATTCCTATTGCCTTTCCCATCTCCCTTGAGGAAATGAGAACTCAGTGAGGCCCTGTGACTCGTCCAAGGTCATGTCTTCCCAAGAGGTGACTTTGGCCTTTTGGTTTTTCTGTTCTTTGTAACAGTAATAGAAGTGCTTATAAAAATGTTCAGCAACACAAGAAGACAAAAAGGGAAAATCAAGGTATCAGGGCTGGAGGCACACACTCTTATCCCAGCATCCAGGAAGCAAGGCGGGAAGATCCTGGGTTCTAGACCAATCTGGGCTGCATAAGACCCTGTTTATTTATTGGTATACATCAATTTTCTCTCTTCTTCAAGCGCTGTTGCATAGGGGCCTTGTTCCACCCTGATGGCCACCCTGGGGGGTATGTTGAGCAAAGACGTTGAGCTAAGATGTGTGTGAAAGCCTTTGAACACAAGACAATACCACGCAAATGTTCACTATGAGCCTGATCCTTCTGTTGCTCAGGGTGGTCAAGGTCTTGCTGAAGGCCAAAGGTCAAACAGACCAGGGAATCTCAGAGACCATCTTGCCTCAACTGTGCCGTATCCCTGCCAGCTCCCCTTGCATGCATCTGATGACAGCGATATCATTACTGATTCAGATGGCCTCCCCCCCCCCCCCAGCTCTGCCTGCCATAGGCTCCTTCATTACAGCTCCAATCTGCCTGCTTGGGTCTCTCAGTTCCCAAGTTATGGTTGGAAGTGGAGGAGCAGGCACTGCCGTTCTCGCTCTTCCTTGACATGCTGGGGTTGAGCAGAGGACAGGAGCAGAGTGGCAGGGGCCCTGGAGGATTGTCCTACAAACAGGTCTTGTGCTCCTTGAGCTGGGGATGTAGCTGAGTGGTAGCATGCCTGAGTGCTTAAGGCCCTAGGTTCAATTCCCAGTATGGCAACAACTTCATGTTACATATGAAAATCACGTGTTCCTCCATAATCAACCCCCTTCAAGACTCAGTGGAGGTGTCACCTTCTCTTGAAAGACTGTCTGAACCTCATTCTGTCCCGCCTTTGCAGAGTTGGGGTGATGATGCCTTGTGATGGCACAGACGTCTTCCCCTTGCCCCCGAAGGGACTTTGTACTGGTCATATGAGGAGTAATCCTGGGCTGGAGAGATGGCTCAGTGGTTTAGAGCGCTTGCTACTCTTCCAGAGGACCCGAGTTCACTTCTCAGCCCCATGTGGGCAGCTCATGGCTTGTAACTCCAGCTCCAGCAGATCTGACCCTTGTGCATCTGCACACACATGCACATATGCACGTGCATGTGCATGCATGTGCGCGCGCGCGCACACACACACACACACACACACACACACACACGAGAATAGATGCTGGAGAGGAGGCTCAGTGACTGATGTGTGCTGCTCTTTCAGAGGACAGAGTTTAGTTCCCAGCGCCAACACCAGGGTACTCACAGCTACTCCAGGGGCTATGCTCTCCTCTTCTGACCTCCAAGGACACCCACACGTACAGAAAACACTTACACAGACACAGACACACTAATAAAAATAAATATATCTTTAGAAATTTACTTGTCTTTGTTTTATTTTTTATTTTTTTATTTTTTGGTTTTTTGAGACAAGGTTTCTCTGTAGCTTTGGTGCCTGTCCTGGAACTAGCTCTTGTAGACTAGGCTGTCTTTGTTTTATGTGCTTTGGTGTTTTGCCATGGGTGTCAGGTCCCCAGGACCTAGAGTTACAGTCAGTTGTGAGCTGCCACGTGGGTGCTGGAAATTGAACCAGGATCCTCTGGAAGAATAGTCAGTGTTCTCAAACGCTAAGCCATCTCTCCAGCCCAATAAATAAGCTTTTTAAAGAAAGCAAACAGAGCTGTAGTGGTGCACACCTTTAATCCCAGCACTCATGAGGCAGAGGCAGGCGGATCTCTGAGTTCGAGGCCAGCCTGGTCTACAGAGGAGTTCTAGGACAGCCAGGGCTACACAGAGAAACCCTGCCTCAAAATAAAACCAAAAAAGAAAAAGAAAGGCAACAACAAACAGCGTAAGCTGACTTCCTGTGCTCTGCTGTGCTTGCTGCTCAAGCTACGGGACCTCGTTTCATCCAAAGCAACCCTGGCAGTGGGAGCCACTGCCTCTCTTCTACAGAGGAAGGCAAGAGCCATAAAAGTCTTTTGTCCCACATCCTAAAACTCCGAGATGGCCAAGAGGCAGGATGCAAACCCACACCTCCAATACCGCACTCCTGCAGGACAGGGCAACTGTTTCACTGAGCCCCGAGTTCTCCCAGTCTTTCTCAGAACACAACAGGGCTCCAGTGGAGCTTGAAGCCAAGAGGAAAGAGCCAAGCCAGCAACTCAAGAGCTCTCCTGAATGAATCACGATTCCAGCCCTGCTCTGCCTTCTCCCACCTGCTTAGGCTTGAGAAGGGTCCCTGTTTGGAAATCAAAGGGAAGCAGGGGGTGGATCTGACAGGTTTGATTGACAGCCTGTGAGGAAGATGAGAGGCAGGCAATGCTGAAGTCTCCAGAAGGACAGATATTGGTGGTGCAACGAGCTGGCTTCTGCTCCCTTCTGCTTAGCATCTGAAGGCTTTTGGATGCGGGGTGGGGTGGGGGTGTGAGGAGGAAGGATGTGAGGTGGGCAGAGGCCTTGGGGTGGGGTTCTGACAGTACTGGAGGGGCTCTGAGTAGGGTGGGCGGAGACCTCGAGTGCTTACCCCGCCTTGCCCTCTCCCCTCTGGCAGGATGGCTACATTGACTTCATGGAGTACGTGGCCGCCCTCAGCCTGGTCCTCAAGGGCAAGGTGGAACAGAAGTTACGCTGGTATTTCAAGCTCTACGACGTGGACGGCAACGGGTGCATAGACAGGGATGAGCTGCTCACCATCATCCGGGTAACTTCAGGTGCAGAGGGCTAGGCCAGTGGTGCGCCCTGGGTAGCCAAGGGCGGGTGCCCGGGCTGAGAGCGCCAGGATAGAAACGAGATGGGATTTGGGACCGAGGGATGACAGCTTTCTCATCAGCTGCATGATCTGGACCTCAGTTTCCTCACTGGCACTAAGGCATTGCTAAACCTCCACTCTTTATGCGTGTGGGTGTGTATATGTGTGACGTCAGAGCAGGGTGTCAAGTGTCTTGCTCTGTCCTTCTGTCTTTTTGAGACAGGGTCTCACTGGAGCTAGGCCCCAGCAGGCCTCTTGCTCCACGCCCACCCTCAGCCCCACGGTGACCACACCTGGCTTTTTACCTGGGCAGCAAGCACACTTTTACTGCCACCTTAGCACTTGTTTTTTTTGTGAGTCTCAGTATGTAGGTCTGGAACTCACGGAGGTCTGCCTGTCTCTGCCTCTGCCTCTGCCTCCCCAGCACAGAAATTAAAGTCATGTGCTATGCCACCGCGGTACCTCCTAGCCTTGCTTTTAATGACAGGATCTTTTTTTAAAAATATTTTTTATGGTTATGTGCATTGGTGTGAAGGTGTCAGATCCCCTGCAACTGGATCTTCAGATAGTTGTGAGCTGGGAATTGAACCTGGGTCCTCTGGAAGAGCAGTCAGTACTCTTAACCACTGAGCTATCTCTCCAGCTCCCTTAATGACAGGATCTTAAATTGTAGTGTAGACTGGTTCACAACTACTTGGCCGTATTGATCTCGAATTTGAGGCAATTCTGCCTCAGTCTCCCAAGCACCTGAGGCTACCCTGAACCGCTCTTGAGTTCTGATGAGTTCACTCTGCTGCGGCCCCCGCCATGGAGACGGATCCCCTCACTTCTGTCTGTCCTCCCAGGCCATCCGAACCATTAATCCCTGGAGCGATTCATCCATGAGCGCCGAGGAGTTCACAGATACCGTGTTTGCCAAGATCGACATCAATGGGGATGGTGAGGGGGCCGAGGAGGGGTTCCCCGCGAGTTGGCGGCATCCCTGAACAGGGGAAAGAGAGGAGAAGGAAAGGGGACCTTCTGCTGGTCACCTCCTCTACCCACCTTTGCTGTGACTCAGAACTGGATTTTAGGGATCCCTGCAATATATCTTGGGTTCTAGACCAATGCCCCCAAAGCTGGCTCTGTCCCTGCTCTTGGCAAGCATCTAGCTCTGAGCCCTGGACTACTGAGACCTCATCCTGCGAATCCGTTTTTCTCCATCCCAGGGGAACTGTCTCTGGAAGAGTTCATGGAAGGCGTCCAGAAGGACCAGATGCTCCTGGACACGCTGACCCGAAGCCTGGACTTGACCGGCATTGTGCGCAGACTCCAGAATGGTGAACAGGAGGAGGAAGACGCTGGCGACCCTGTAGCGGAGGTTGCAGGCTGAGCCTTACTCTGTGGCTTCTGTATGCTGAGGGTTGGCCCGGTGTGGTGCCTGATGTGATTGTTTTGTTCTTATCTTAGCATTACATAGAATCTCCTGAACTCAAAGGCTCTGCTTCTTTCTTTGGGTGCATAGTGCCAGCAGGGGGAGCAGTAGCATGGAGACGAGAGCCCCACACAGAGAAAGGGCCTTGGTCCCTCCTTCCTGCTTGGTACTTTCTGGTGGTATCTGTCCGATCGGATGCCCCTCTCTGGACCCGTCATATCATCTTGCCCAGCTTCGCCGCTGTATTTCCCAGGCCACTTCCTTTTGGGTTCGGGAGCTCTGAGGGAGCTCCTGATCTCTGAGGGAATCCCGGCATCTGCTGACGCAGCTTCAGGCAGTCACATCTTGCCCTGACCCTGGAGCCTGTTTGTTTGGCTTCAAGTGATGAACAAACATTATTGAGCATCTACTGTCTGCCAGTGTTAGACAAGGCATCCTCCAGCCATGCCTCATCCACCTCCATGATTTGGGGGAACAAATCTCTTTTCCTAACTGGGATGCTGTTCACGTTTTCTATGGACCGTTTTTTATCTGAGTGATTTCTAAAGGAACCTTTATAGCAACAACCTAGGAAACAGGAAACCCCCAAGGGGCTGAGATACGGCTCAGCAGCAAGAGCTAGTTGCTCTAGCCGAGGACCTAGCACCCACATGGCAGCTCACACATATCTGTAACTCCAGTCCCGGGGATTGGATACCCTCTCTGGCCTCTGTGGACAACGCACACACATGGTGCACAGACATATGCAGGCAAAGCACCCGTGCACATAAAATAGAAAAAAGAATAAACAAAACAAAAAATCACCTGAAGTTCAAGTTGGGCACTATGGTGCACACCAGTGATACCAGTACCCAAGGGACTGAGGCAGGGGATTGGCATGGGTCTCAAGCTAACAGGGGCTTCTGAAACTATCTCAACTGCCCCCAAAAGGAAAACAAATAATCCCTCCCCAAGCAACAAAACAACAACAAAAACCTGGGCTTATTGGCTCATACTTGCAATCTTTGGACTCTGGAGCTGGAGGCAGGAGTTCTGGCTAGCCTGGGCTATAGAGTGAGCTCCAGGCTAGTCTGAGCTACAGTGTGGAGCCTTTCTCAAACAAGCAAAGAAACTTCCCTCAAGGTCAGTAAGTTAGCTTACTTTATTTTAACATAAAAGCACATCTACTCAGGGTAAAGCCAATATCCCATCAGGCTTGCCAGGGGGTCACTGTCTGAGAGTGATCCCAGTTCCACTTCCTGTCCCCCAAGGTACCTTCCCCAGCTGCACTGATGTGAAGGGCAGAGGAAGGCAGGAGGGCTAACCAGGGAGGTCCCAGGAAATCTACCTTCTATATTGGGGTTGACGTCTATATGATAATCTAGGACTGCCTAGTTAGCCTGCAGGAGGTTAGGGGTCCAACAGCAGTCGGAGGTAAAGTCCAGCCTGGAGTCCCAATGCATAGGTGTCTGGTTCTCCCCAGAGATGAAGAGACGGTGTCTCCATCCTTAAGGAGGCATGCGGGCTTATGGCTAGAAATGGTGGCAGGCTCCCGCTGGAGATGGGGTGAGGAGGAGGAACTAGGGAGTAGCACCCATCTGAAAACCCTTTGTTAAGCTCAGCAGACCTCCAAGAGCCAGAGGATCACAGAGGTAACTGTCTGCTGCCATCTGCCCTTGTCAGCCCTGGGGAGGACATCCTGGGGAGGAGTCTGCTCGGGTAGTGGGGCAGTCAAGATCCTTCCACATCCTTACTCTCTTCTGACTGCTCCCTACCTAAGTCTTTGCCTCCCACCTCACCTCACCCTCCAGCCGCCCCATTTCCACTGAGAACACCTAAAGATTAGAGAGAGCCCCACGTCTCCCAGCTAAGGCCCAGCTCTTCCAGGAGCAGTGTAACCGAGTTCCCCTACAACGCTAGGAAATCTTGAGAATAGATTGAACCCCGTGGGCTTCTCCAGCCCAGCAGCCATGGCTCATCCCCTTGTTCTCCCACACCGAGTTGGGTATCAGGAAGTCCACACCAAGCAAGAGTGGGCCTGAGCCAACTAGGCCAAGGGCCTCCTGATACTTTGAAAACCTGGGGGACCCTGGAGGTTTAGAAGGGTCCCCAGGCCCTCAGAACATGGCACTTCTCCGCCTTTGCTGAGTGATCCAGCCACCAGGGTTGACGTCCATCTGCAGCATCTTCATCACCCACTTGTCGCGACGGGCACCTTCAATGAACTCGGTCAGAGACAGCTGGCCTGAGCGAGGTGAGGTGGGAGAGATGGTCACAAGGAGGGGGAGCCAGGCCTGGGCTGGGAAGGCCTCCTACCTCCTCCTCCCTACAAACCAGACCGATGCCTCGGATTCAAAGCCTGTAGCTTGTCAATTCTGCGTCTAGAGGAGTCTCTTGCAACTCATAAGTTGTGTGCGTGTGCGCATGTGTGCATATGTGTATGTGTGTTATGTGCTCAAGCATGCATATGGAAGCCAAAGAACAGTTTCTGGTGTCATTCCTCAGGCACCAACTACTTTCTTCCCTCCCTCCCTCCCTCCCTTCCTTCCTTTCTTTTTTGAAACAGGGTCTCACTGTGTAGCCCTGGTTGACTTGGAATTCACTACGGAGCCCAGCCTAGCCTTGAATTCACGGCCTCCTGCCTCTGCCTCCTTCACACCATCATCATCACCATCACTATTATATAGGGATTGGGCGGGGCGCACATGCTCACCACAGTACGAATGGGAAGGTTAGGGGACAACCTGCAGTGGTTGGTTCTTGCCTTCAACCAGGGATCTAATTCAGGTCATCAGGTTTGGTGACAAGTGCCTTTATCCACAGAGCCATTTCTCTGCTATCTTTTTATCTTCAAAAAATTATTTAGGTCTGGAGAAACGGCTCAGTGGTTAGGAGCACTGGCTGCTCTTACAGAGGATCCAAGTTCAATTCCTAGCAGTCACATGGTGGCTCACAGTTGTCTATAACTCCAGTTTCAGGGGGTCCAACACTCTTTTCTGGAAGGTCATTGCACACACATGCTGCACAGACATACATGCAGGCAAAACACTCATGCACATAAAGCAAAATTAAAATAATTACTGTTATTTTCAAGCTCAGCCTCTATCAGCCACCCTCAGAAGAGCTGTACCCCACGAATGTGTGCTCAGGTGGTTTTGGGTGTCCCTTGTCATCCTTTCCCCAGCTCTCTCTCACCGTCTCCATTCTCGTCCACCAGGAGGAAGATCCTGTCCACTACCTCCTCAGGTGTGAGCAGTTGGCCCTGCTGCTCCAGGTCCAGCTCCACTCGGCAGGCCTTCTTCAGCTTGTAAATTGCCTGCCAGAGAGAAAGAGCTAGGCTCCTCTGACAGAGCCTCAGGGACCTGTGTCCCTTAGTGCCGCCTCCCTATTGCTGGCCTCCTAGTGTCATCTAACCCAGATATCCTGGCTACTCTTTGTTCATTTGACCCTAGCTAGAGCCATCTGGGGAGAGGGAACCTCGACCGAGAAAGCACCTCCAGTGGGCAAGTCTATTGGGCACTTCAGCAGTTTCGGGATTAAGGATAGATGCAGGGAGCTCACTGGCAAGCCCACTTAGTGGAACCCAAGAGCTTTAGAATGAAAGACTGTCCAAAACAAACAAACAAACAAATACAGAAAACGTGGAGGGGCTCCAGTGATGGCTCGGTGGTTAAGAACACGGGCTGCTCTTCCATTGGACCGGGCCTGGATTGTCAGGACCCACGTGATGGCTAACAACCCCCATCACTCCAGTTTAGACCTGACCCCTCCTCTGGCTCCTGAGGGCACAACACACAAGTGGGGCACTACTGTGCACGCAGTTTAGTTTGCTCTTTTTAATTTCTGTAGGTGGCTTCTTAGGTCATTGGCATTCTTGTTTTCTTTTCTCAAGTTGAATTTGTTATTCTTACCGTCACCGTTACTGTGTATGCGTGAGTAGTGTGTGTGTCAGAGGGTGAGCACGTGTGTACCATGGCGAGCGAGTGGAGGTCAGGGGACAATTTCCACACTTGTCCTCTTACTCCACCGTGAGATCCCAGGGGTTGAGTTTAGGTTGTCAGGTTTGGCGGCAACCACACAGCCAGGACATTTGATGACCCCAGATAACACATTGTGAATGGTTTCATCTCTTCTACCCCAACTCAGTGCCAGGTGGTTCCCTGTTGAACAGGACACGAGGCCCAGAAGTGAGAAGAGGGTGGGGCGCTCTCACGGGCAGATACTGACCTCCACAATGTCCAGAAGCTCTAGGCGGTCGATGCAGCCATTGCGGTCCTTGTCATAGATCTTGAAGGTCCACTTGAGCTTGTGCTCCAGAGTGCCCCTCAGCACGAGGTTCAAGGCCGCCACATACTCCAGGAAGTCGATGGTGTTGTCCTGCGTTGAGTGTGGATAGTGTTGAGGCTGCCCATCCCAGCTTCACTGCCCCCCCCCCCCCGCCCCCGCCCAGGGAGCAGGTATGAGTCCCATTGACTCTGTCCCTGGACTCCAGCAGGGCTCTGTGTCATGGCACACACTGTTCCTCACCCCGGGACCCTGTCATTCTCTGCCTCACCCTTCTGTGTAGCTGGGATGGCAGCCCCATGCCACCAGGTCTAGAGAAATGTCCCTCATCATCTGTCCAGAATTTTCTATTATAATACTGTCTCTCAACATGATTCACTTTCCATGACGACCTCCGTGCTGTGTGAGGCACATTCTGGCACAGCTCCTTCCTGGTACAGCCTCCTCCCTGTGAGGTCATAGAAACTCTGGGACCATTTCTGGGGCACCTCTGGCTGGGGTTAATCTCATCTGTGCATAGATCAGCAACAATTATCCACTGTAGCCGGAGATGGATGAAAACATCCATATAGTCAGCACAGGCTGGAGGCACCTGGGTGAGTAGCTGCTCTGGCTCTCCCTGGCTCCGCTGCACCATGCACTGATGCCTGTGTGGCAGGCCTATCCAGGCAATACGGCCTTGAAAGGTCTGCAAGCAAACAAAGCGAATCCGGACTAACAAGAGGTGGCTTCAGCTGTCCCTTACATTTTTTTGTAGATTTATTTATTTTGTTTTACATGTTTGAATGTTTGCCTGCATGTGTATATGTATACCGCATGTGTGCCTGGTGCCCATGGAGGTCAGAAGAGGGGCATTGGATAACATGGCACTGGACTTATGGATGGTGTGAGCCACTATGTGGATGCTGGTAATCAAGCCTGGGTCCACTGAACTTCGAGCCATCTCTCCAGCCCCCATTCTCCTTTATAAAACTCCAACCGCCAGGCTACTCTCCGGAGAGGAAAGGAGGGCAGAGATAGGCGGCTAAGGCAGGGGGATCTTGACTTTTAGGCCAGACTGGGCTACATAGTGAGACCCTGTCTCAAACGAGCTGGAGAGATGATTCAATGGTTAAGAGCATTTGTTCTTGCAGTGAACCTAGGTTCAGTTCACAGTACCCACAGGACAGCTCACAACCATCTATGACTCTGGTTCTAGGGAATCAGGTGCCCTCTGACCTCCCTGGGCACCAGACACACACTGCATTAATCGGCAAACAAGCAGGCAAAACTCTCACATACAAAAAATAAAATAAATCTAGAAATAACAGCAAAACTCCCAGCCCTCTGAGTAGGAACACTGGACCAGGAGTTAAGACTTGACCTTGGGCAAATAGGCTCACTTTCTTGGGTTGGATGTTTGTTTGGAACGGGGTCTGTCTGTGCAGTTCGTGTTGGCTTTACACTAGAATGCTTTCCAGGACTGGATGGCTGCACACACCCCCACCCCCACCACCAATGCACCAGCCCTCACCCTAGTTTTTTTTTTTTTTTTTTTTTTTTTTTTTTTTTTTTTGATTTTTCGAGGTTTCTCTATAGCTTTTGGTTCCTGTACTGGAACTTGCTCTTGTAGACCAGGCTGGCCTCGAACTCACAGAGATCCGCCTGCCTCTGCCTCCTGAGTGCTGGGATTAAAGGCGTGCGCCACCACCGCCTGGCTCTCACTCCAGTTTTTTCATCATTTAATTTAGATAAAAAACCACAGCCCTCCCTGGTGAGGCTCCTTCAGCCTTGAGGAGATGAGGAGGAGGTGGTCCTGTGAGGGCTAAAGTTGGCTCTGGGCCCTGTGGTGTTTCGTGACTGATCTCAGCAGAAGAGGCTCCATTGCTCTGAAACTGCTGAACCCATCACCCTCTGACTGGGACTAAGAGTGGCCTTAGACCTCACGTGGCATCCCATCGAGCCAGCTTGGCACAGTTCTTCTGCACGACCCTTTCTTCAGATTACCTGGGTATCCCCTCAATTAAGGACTTAAAATAGTCTTTATTCCATACTACAGACTGCAGGGGCCTGGGCATGGCGGCACACGCCTTTAATCTCAGCACCCAGGAGGCTGAGGAGCTCTGTGAGTTTGAGGCCAGCCTGGTCTACACGGAGAGTTCCAGGACATGCAGGACTAGATCATGAAACCTTGTCTCGGGCTGGGGAGATGGCTCGGTGGTTAAGAGCATTGCCTGCTCTTCCAAAGGTCCTGAGTTCAATTCCCAGCAACCACATGGTGGCTCACAACCATCTGTAATGAGGTCTGGTGCCCTCTTCTGGCCTGCAAGCATACACACAGAAAGAATATTGTATACATAATAAATAAATATTTAAAAAAAAAAAAAAAAAAAAAAAAAAAAGAAACCTTGTCTCAAACAAAAACCAAAAATAAAAAAACATAACACAACACAACAAGAAGGACCTCAGGACACTGAACCAGAAGACCTTAAAAACAAAGTCTTTTTTTCTCAGATAGTTCTTTCTTTCTTTTTAAAAATAGTTTACTTATTTTTACTTTAGGTACACTGGTATTTTGCCTGAATGTACGTCAGATCCCCCTGGAACTGGAGCTACAGACAATTTTGTTTGCTTGTTTGTTTGTTTGTTTGTTTTTTAAGACAGGGTTTCTTTGTAGCTTTGGAGCCTATCCTGAAACTCACCTTGTAGGCCAGGTTGATCTCAAACTCATAGATATCCCCTGCTGAGCTACAGACAGGTGTGAGCTGCCATGTGGGTGCTGGGAATTGAACCTGGGTCCTCTAGAAAAGCAGCCAGTGCTCCTAACCCCGAGCAATCTCTCCAGCCTGCCTTTAGTTTCATTTCATGTTTATAAGTGTTTTGCCTGTACACATGTGTATCACATGTGTGCCCGATATCTGTGGAGGCCAGAAATGGACTCTGGACCCCGTGGAACTGGAGTTACAGACAGGTGTGAGCTGCCATGTGGGTGCTGGGAACTGAACCTGAGTTCTCTGCAAGAGCAGCCAGTGCTTTTAACCACCGAGCCATGTCTCCAGGCACTGAATTAAAAAACATGTTTGAAGCAAAGCTAGAGTCTAAGAGAATTTAATGCAGATTTTATGTACTAGGGCTAAGAAAGAGAGAGACACTTGGGAGGATAAAGAGACACTAAGAACGTGGGTCTGGGCTTCTAGAAGGACATAGCATTGAATTAAATTAAGATTGGACCTGGGAGATGGTTCAGTCCATAAAGTGCAGGCTGTGCCAACAGGAAGACCCAAATTCCTTCCCTAGCGTTTACACAGAAAGCGGAGCATGGGGATTGGAGAGGTGGGTCAGCAGTCAAAGGCAGGGATTTGTCTTGCTGAGGACCAGAGTTATGCTCTCAGCCCCACCATTTTTTTTTTTTTTTTGGTTTTTTTTTTTCGAGACAGGGTTTCTCTGTGGTTTTGGAGCCTGTCCTGGAACTAGCTCTTGTAGACCAGGCTGGTCTCGAACTCACAGAGATCCGCCTGCCTCTGCCTCCCGAGTGCTGAGATTAAAGGCGTGCGCCACCACCGCCCGGCTTTTTTTATTTATTTATTTATTTATTTGGTTTCAGCCCCACCATTTTTAACTCCAGTTCTAGGGGATCTTCTGCCCTCTTCTGGTCACCATGGGAACTGCACTCATGTGTACAAACCCACACACAATTTAAAACCCAGAGTGCATTGGCGTCTACTTGCTATTCCTGTCCTGTGCCCCTGTGCTGACAGAGTGGGTACAGGAGGATTTATGGGCTTCCTGAACAACCAGTTTATTCTAGTTGGTAAGCTCCGGGCCAATGAGAGATGGTGTCACAAAAACAAGATGGACGCTTCCTAGGAAATGGCACCTGAGATCCATCTCTGACCTCCAAATGTACACATGAACATGCACACACAGGGATATAAATTTTAAAGCCTGGGGCTCTGGCGAGATAGATCAGAGTATAAGAGCACTGGCTGCTCTTCCAGAGGTCCTGAGTTCAATTCCTAGCAACTACATGGTGGCTCATAACCATCTGTAATGAGATCTGGTGTCCTCTTCTGGCCAGCAGGGATACATGCAGGCAGAATATTGTATATATAATAAATAAATACTAATATGATATATAATATAATTAATAATATAATAAATAATTTTTTTTAAAATTTAAAGTCTGATTACCATGTTGCATTATATAATTTAGTACCTTTTAGCTGCTGGTACCATTGAAGGGCTTAAGGAAACTGGGATTTGATTCCATGAATTAAAGCGTTGAAAAGGGGAGAGAAGGCTCAGCAGTTAAGAGCACTTACTGGTCTACCAGAGGACTGGCGTTTTTGGATACCAGAATCCTCACTGGGCAGCTCACAAACACTGGGGCTCTCAGGTATCTGACGCTCCCTTCTGGACTCATGGATGTGCGCGTGCAAACACACACATGTGCACACACAGACACGTGCACACACGCACACACAGTTAAAAGGGGCTTTTGCAACCACCCACCCACCTCCCTTCAGTGTGAAGCTCCTTCCAGCATCACAACAGGGAAGAACTGGGCAGCCTCCGTCTGGAGGACCCTAGCAAGGGGTGCGCTCATCTTTGCTAGGATGGCCTTGGGCCATCTCAGTTCCTGTGTTTAGAGCAACAGGGGCCCTATGGGGTTTGAAAAACCGTGTTCTGTTGTAGTTCTTCTGCCCCAAATGCACAGAGAAGGCCCAGGCTGTGTGCCAGTGACCTCTGCCTCTGAGGAAGAGGGTGTCGAGAGCCAGTGGGAAGAGGGGAAAGGACAAATGACGGGAGAGAGAGGATCTGGGGAAATGGTGAGGCAGAAAGGCAAGAGGCATGGACAGGAAAGCGGGAGAGTCTGAGGGGCTCGAGGGTGGGAAGGTCACAGGTCCCCCTGCAGGGCTCCTTACCCCGTTCTTGTCGAAGGCTCGGAACATGCCCTCCACATACTGGCTGGCCTCCTCATTGCCCGTGACCTTGAAGAAGTGCTTGAACTCGTGCATGAAGAGTGTACCGCTGGGACACTCAACCACAAACTTCTTGTACCACTCCTGCAGCTCCGCCACGTCCACCTCCCCATCAGCCTCCACCTGCTCCCAGCTGAACTGCTGACCCATTTCGGCTTTGCGAACTCAAAAGGCCCGGTGCGTCCTCCAAGGCCTTGGCTGACCTTAGGCGCCGGCCCTCTGTCTCCGTTGCCTTGGTTAGCCCAGCCCTTTCATGTCTCGGGGAAACTGAAGCTGATTGGTAGTGAAGGGACCTCCAGAAGGGGCGCAGCCCAGGTCAGCTTAGCTGTGTAAGACCATTAGAAGATTCCCGGAGTGCCTGACCTCCATATGGCTAAGCCTCCTCCGCCTTGCCCCTCCACAGGTCCGGTGAGAGACAGCAGTCTATAAGAACCCTGGAGTTTTCTTGGTCCCACCAATGTCCGTGGCTCTCTCACAGACCACGCCTGATTCTTGGGTTTTTCATTTTCCAGCTTAAAGGACAAATGCTTCTCCCCAGCCAGCACTCAAGCCCTGAAGCAACCCCTCCCATCCTCTTCCAAGGCACTAACGACTGGCAGGACCTGGGAGTCTGTGTCTTCAAGCATCTTATGTTGAAGTAGCTTATATTAAAGACGGCATGAACCTGCTTTGGAAGTGGTTACATATTCATTGTGTTGACCAACTATATATTCACTACTCATAGAAACAATTACATATTCATTGTGCACAACTATAATCCCGGCACTGGAGCGGCAAGGGGATCTTGAGTTCAAAGCCACTCTGGGCTGCCCTATTGACACAGGAAGAGAGCGCCCCCCCCACCCCCCCAGCAAGCTATCTTTTAGATTCTGTTTTTATTTATTTTTTGAGACAGGTTCTCACACAGCAGCTCTGGCTGTCCTGGAACTCACTGTGTAAACCAGGATGACCTTGAGCTCACAGTGACCTGCCTGCCTCTGCCTCCAGGGCTGGGATTAAAGGTGTAGACAACCACGCTTGGATAGATTTTCTCTATTTTATGTGAACAAGTGTTCGTTTGTATACATGCATGTACGTGTTTCACAGGCAAGCCGTGTTTCATAGAGGCCAGAAGAAGGTGTCGGTTCCCTTAGATCTGGAGTTACGTTCAGTCTGAGCCACCATGTTGGATGCTGGGAACCGAATCTGGGTCCTCTGCAAGAGCAGCAAGTGTTTTGATGCTGAGCCTTCTCGCCAACTTGTGTGCTTCTTTATTTTTAAAAAGATTTATTTTTCTTATTTTAAAATTGTGTGTGTGCATGTGCATGTGTGCGTGTGCATGCGTGTGTGTGTGTGAGAGAGAGGGGGGGAGGGAGGGAGGGAGGGAGGGAGAGAGAGAGAGGCTATGCTCATGTGGGTGCAGAGTCCACAGAGGCCAGAAGACACGAGGCTGTCAGATCCCCTGGAACTGGAGTTCCGGCAGTTGTGAGCCACCCAGAGTCTGAACTCAGGTCCTCTGCAAACACTGAGCCCTCCCTCCAGCCCGCCACAAGCTATCTTTAAAGCAGGGCTTGGGTGATGGCTGGGAGAAGCATTGTGATCCTGTCTTCCAAGGGCTTATTTTGGGGTTGCTGAGGATGTGCGCAGGCCTGACCTCATCTCTCAGCGATCTTTGTCACCTGACACCCCAGTTTCTTCGAATCTCACCATTCAGTCCCTGTGTGGGAACTACTTCCATGTTGTCCTTTCTTGGACTAGTGACGCTTTCTCCCACATCCCACATTCCTGTGAGTCTAAGACTAGTGTTCTCCTCAGACCCCACTGCTGCCTTCCATGGCCCTTTTTCTCCCTCAGACTGTCCAGGGCTGGAGAGAATGGGTAGCAGTTCAGAGTCCTTTCTACTCTTTCAGATAGACTGGGCTTGGCTCCCAGTACCCGTACTGATCCTCCACAGCTGCCTGTGGATCCGGATCTAGGGGATCCAACGCCCTCTTCTGGCCTCTGCTGGCACCTGCACTCACATGGTGCACATGCAGACCAGCATAAATAAAAATCAACATTTTAAATGTCTGTCCTGCTCTGCTTGAACAGTAATGTCACTGCTTGTCCCCAGGCAGCGTGTCCACGATTTCAACAGCCAAGTGAGGACTGACCATCCACCTACACTAGCTCACAGGTCCTTGGCCCCTTAGTTCTGTTTTGTTGTTGTTTATTTAGCTAATTAACTTATCTTGCGTCTGTGTGAGGACAGGTATGTGTGTGCCACACTGTGCGTGAGGTCAGAAGGCATTTCCGGGAGTCTGTTCTCTCCTTCTACCTTGTTGAGTCAGCGTCTCTCTTGTTGCTCTGCTTCCGGCTCCTGTGACTTTCCAAATGATCCCCCTGTCTTCATCTCCCATCTTGCAGTGTGAGTGCAGATTTGCTGTGGGTTCCAGGGTCTGCACTGGGACCATCAGCAGCTAGCCCTCTCGCCTACTGAGCCTTCCTGCCCTCCACCCCTTAACTGTAAAAATCGCCTCCCCATTCACCTGTGGGCCAACAGCGGCAGTCTCTGGGAATTTGCTGTACACAGAGTTTCCCAGGTGTCCACTCCTAGCGAGCTGACTCAGGGACCTTGGGGTGGGGCACAGCACTGTTCCAGAAAGCCCTGCAGCGCTCCCAAACACATTGGAGTCTAGAAGCTCTGGGCCTGGCTCCCACGAGTTTCTCTGCTGTCTTTGAAACTCAGCTCCCTTGTTGGTTCTCAGTTCTTCCAGCTCCGTCTCCCCAGTAACTCACCAGCTGGATGACCCAGCCCTTTCCTGGCACAGCTCAGCACTCCTGCAGTCCCCCCCCCCAACTTTGACCTCCCCATGTGACTCTCATCCTGCCTCATAGGGTCCCCACTGAAGCTGTCGCTGAGACCTGCTGGAGAAGAGGGGGAGGTCCCGATGCTGCCTGCATTCCTGTCACCCTAAGCGTATCATCCTGATGAAGTCACACTCCCTCAAGGTAACTGTCTGCAGTCACCCTGCCCTTACGCCCTCCACTCATCCTCAGAGAGCCTAGCCCCCCCCCCCCACCCACCCCCGCCTGCGTTTGGTGTCTGTGGAGGAAACTGAGGAAGAGGGCAGCGCTGGAGTGCATCAAGTGCCCTGGTGTGGACAGGAAATTGTTGGAGGATTAGAGCAAGGGAGCAGCCGGTGTGACACTGCACTGCTCCGGAAGTTGGGAGTGGTGGCTCAGCTGTGAGTCCAGTCCTTTGGAGGCTTAGGCAGGAGGGTTGGGAGTTCCAGGCCAGCCTGGGCTACATAGGAAGGCTTTGTCTCAAAGGAAAAGGAAATCAACAGGGGTTGGAGAGATGGTTTAGTGGTTAAGAACACTTGTTCTTATAGCGGACCCTGCTTTAGTTTCTGGCACCCACATTGTGACTCATGTCCACCTATGATTCCAGCTCCAGGATCTTGAGCACTGCATGCCTCTGTGTGTGTGTGTGTGTGTAGGCAAACACTTATACACATAAAAGATAAACCTTCAAAAATTAATTACAAGGAGAAACAAATTGTATGTGGGCCTGTTGGCACAGAGACCTATAATCCCAGCCACTTAGGATGCGGGCACAGAAAAGTGCTCAAGGCCTTAGTGAGACAGTGTGTGTGTGTGTGTGTGTGTGTGTGTGTGTGTGAGAGAGAGAGAGAGAGAGAGAGAGAGAGAGAGAGAGAGAGGAGTAGTAGTAAGAGCAGTAAGCTCTTGCTTAGCATGTATGATCCTGGGTTCAATCCCCAGTATCCAGTGGGAAGGGAGAACAAAAATAAGTTCTATGCATGAAACAAGACTTGATGTAGTCTCTGGCCGAGGGACCTCACACTGGTTGGGTTTTCACGTGGGTCAACTGCACATGACCTGCCCTAGAAACACCGCTGACCTGCTGAGGTAGAAACATATCACTTTAAAGAGGATTAGGAATTCATAGCAGGGAAGGGTAGCTTTGAAAGGAGTATCAATAGTAAGGACTTAAAGAGGGCAGGGTTAAGCTGGGGGCAGGGCATTTGCAGGGAACCCTGGGGACTGCAGGCAGCCAGAGACAGAGTCCACCGACACCCTCCACCTCGCCCCCTGCTCCACTCTGTCCCCCCCCCCCCCCCCCCGCTATCAGTTTCCACGCTGCTGCCGTCCTTCCCACACAACAGAGCCTGCCTTGCTGAGGCCCAAACACGGTACTGTCTCCACTCTTGTCCTGTGCCAGCAGTGGGCCTACAGAACCATGGTGTATCTGCTTCTTTTGCTTACTTTATTTATTCCTTAGCCCCACCCCCAGTCAGCCTCTCAGTGAGGAAGAGGAACCATGGAAGGGAACTGGAAATGGGCTTTGACTGCTGGAATCAGCAGACATTTGAGTTCTTCAGTCTTTTCAAAAAGAAAATTAGGCTTTACACGTGATATGTGCGTTAACATGCGTGCCGTTGCATCTGTGTGGAGCATGCGTGCCGTTGCGTCTGTGTGGAGGGGAGAAGCAATCTGGGGAGCTGATTTTTTCTTTTTGCCATGGGGGCGCCGGGATCAAGCGCAGGCTACCCCGCTTGGCTGCAAGCATCTTCAACTGCTGACCATCCTGGGGCCCAGCAGAGTAGGGTTTTCTCACTTTAATTTTAAGAGAAGGTCGAGCTATGGGGCTGGAGCTGTGTGTGTGTGTGTGTGTGTGTGTGTCTGCACGTGTGGAGGTCAGAGGACAACTTTCTGGAGTTGGTTCTCTCCTTTCACCATGCCAGTTCCAGGAGCTGAACTCCAGTTGTTGGGCTGAAGTGGCAAGTGTCTTTACTGCTGACATACATCTCTATGCCCATAGCCTCTTTCCTCTCTTCTTTCTTTCTCTTCCTCAGTTGCTCTCCATGTTTCTCCCATTTCATGGGCACGTTTATATGTATGTGAGAACATGTGCATGAGTGTGAGTGGATGTATGTGGAGGCCAGAGGCTTACACGGGAAACCATCCTCAATTGGTCTGCCACTGGGCATGGTCTCTTAGAGCTGATTCGGCTCTTCTCGCCTACAGCTTGTAGGGGGATCTGGTACCCTTCTGAGGCTGAACCGCAGGTAGGTCACCATGCCAGCCTGGCTTATGTGCGTTCTCATGTTTACATGGTAAGCACTTAACCACTGGGCCATCTCTCCAGCTCCTCCACCTTAGTTTTC